ATGTCTATTATATGATGGACGAAAGTTCAACCCATTTTCATTGGAAGTGAGGGGGGATGTCTCATGGATTGCGTCCACCTGAACGTCGAATTAAAGACAAACGGCTGAAGTACAATGGGATTCAGCCGTTGTCTTCTCGTAAGATCAACCTACGAGTCTTCATGAATTTTTATACGAAATGAAGGTCTCCCCAACAATTTTATTTCAAGAGATTAATCTAAACTCAGTTAATCTTCTTATCTACTCTTGCATAATTCATTTTAGACCATTTTTACACAGTTTGTGTCTAGCTTCAGTATTTTATACGAAATCCAAATAAAAAATATGGTAATTGTCTGACTTCAAGCCTTATTTTATTTCTAATTTGGAAGGATTTCTATCTGTTTTGGGTTTGTAGGTTGTAGATTACTAGTAGTAGACTAGTTTGGCATTACCAAACGAGTTCTAAGGACATCTTGCTTAATATATCATAAAAATGGCCATCTTTGATTTGCCACCCTATGTTAATAAGTATATGTATTGAGTGTTGGTTTGACCTCGTTTTCGCAACTTGGTCGGGGCAACAGAGACTATAGAATTCACCTAGTCTTATATCCTCTGCGGTATTATTTATGATTAGTTCCAGCATCTGACCGTTGAGTTGCTAAATTCTCAGACGTTTCACAGGCACCGTTGGTGATAAACACCTTTATTAGCGTAGAGTTACAACTTATCAGTGATAAGACTTTGATAGGAGACTGTGACAAAGCAAAGGGCCACCTTATTGTTATTCATATCTACGATGTCATTATCGACACCTGCAGGTACTTAGCAATATATTCTTTTCTGTTTATAAAGTAGTGCTATTCTTACAAATAAAATGAAAAATTTAGTTGGAATAATATTTTTAAATTCTTTCATGTTTCTATTTTTCATATCTCTCTTATAAGATCTTCAGCCCTCTCTTTACGAGCAGTTGCGTTGCCAGCTGACTGCTACACGGCCTGACCTGGCTGGCAACCCAACCGCCTTGGACGAATTGACTATCCAGTGCCTGATGGAGGCGTTCACTCGTCGAGTGGCTCAGCCCGGTGACCTAGGCAATCATCTAGCTCCCGGTCTCCCTTTGCCAGCTCCTGCTCCTGTCATGATGTCCCCGAGCCCTCTACTCCCAAACGAGACCATCACGATTACTGATGGAGACGGCAGCACCAGCGGAAGTGGTGGTGCAGGTTCGGGCTCAGCAGAAGAAAGCGACGAGTCGGCTGTGCTTCTAATTGAATAAATCAGTCGCTACCCCTTTCACGTGTACATAATTTTCTGCCGCATGTCTCTTTGCTTCCTTGCTTGAGAGGCCTATAGGAGCTTTTTACTTTACATTTTCATATCCTATCTTTGACTACCTGAATTAGCTCATTTTATCTCGCCTGAGACCAACTTTGTTCCCTAGTATTTTCAAGCATTACTTTGCTTACTCTGGTCCCATTTCTAGATAATTCGAACTTGATCTAAGTCAGCAATTTTCGCTACAAAAATGATAAATAGCCCAATGTATCTCTTATTTTAATACAACTTATTTAAGGTATTATCTTTTTCAACCTAAAAAGGCCTTGATTTATTTCATGTTTGAAGCCGCTCGAATGCCATTGAGAATTCAACATTTTTCTATGATTCTTCTATTTTACAATAATCTATTTTGTTTGCTCTTCATAGACAGATAAATTTCTTCCGCGGGTATTAAGGCCTACTTTGTCTTTTAATTATGATTTACATTTTCACTTCTGAACGGCTTCTATTTGCATCGAGAAATAAATAGCTTTCACCACATTCACATTTGTGTAT